CGGCGGACTCTGGCCAGATAAACAGCGACCGACCGTTAGAAGGTAACGAGAACGACTCTGCAAGATCGGAGAAAAAGATCTCTCCTTCTCTTGCTCTTTCTTTCCCGGGCTCCTTTCCGCGAGGAAACTCGGAAGAGGCACGTAATACGGCTCCTGGGGGATTCTTTTCTTCCGAGAATCTTTCATGACGTGGAGCGGAGCGCGTGTTCACGGGACTTCCCCCCTTGCTGCTCCTACGATCTGCTCTCTTTCATTCTTTCTCTTTTTCTCTCCTTCTTTCTTCCTTCCTTCCTTCCTTTCTTTCTTCCTTCCTTCCTTCCTTCCTTCCTGCCAGCTTTTGTCTTCGATTTCTTTTCTCTCACGACGTCGGCGTATTGCGTCGCGAGACACCAGAATTCTTGCTCGCTTGATTTTTCCGTGTCGCGGGATTTCATACTCGCGTCGACGTATTCTTCCGGGCGATTTCCTCCCGATGCTCCGGGTCTCCGATGAGACCCGGCATGGCGATGATGTATACGCTCCAATGTTACTCCGCACGCTAATCGCTCGGAGATACACTCGCGAGCGCGATCCCCGACCTCCTATTTTTATTCCCTTCCACTCGAACTGTTTCCGAGAGCGGGCGTGTTCGCTCGACAGCAGGGGAGATGATACCGAGGCGACGAAGTAATGGACCGAGAGAGAGGAAGTCACAGAAAGAGAGAGAGAGAGAGGACGCGCGTGAGAAGAGGAGGGTAGTAGCGGTTACGAGGGACGAAGGGTAATTGAGAAGAGGAGATTTACTTCGACACCGGGGCGGCGGCGGCGGCGGCTGCGAGGGGATGCGACGGGATGGTTTACGGGGTTGCAAGATGGGGCGCGTAGTTATCGGGGACAGGGTGAGGGCCACTAGTGCTTTCTCTCTTTCACGAAGGCATGCGGACGGTGCGCAACGCCCTGTCGTGTGTAACGACGACGAAACTGCGGCTCGTAAAACTTCTCGGCTGCGATGATATCTCCAGCAACTCGCTCAACGGAGAGCAGAGTCGGAAAGACTCACCCTGACTCGATGACATCTTGAACGACGCGTTTCCGAAGAGCATTTTCCCTCTTCTCCCTCCTCTCTTTCTCTCTTTCGCTGGAAAATTCTCGCCTTAGCGATATCTCGTTACTTTGCCTGGTGTTGAAGTCAGAAACGAGTTCAAAGATCGTCTATCAAGTTTCGATCTTCGCGATGCTTATCAATTACCACGTCCGACTCTTATCTCGCGTTCATTACCTCGTCTCTTCTCGCGTGTAAAGTACCAAGCAAATTTGTCGTGATAAACCAAAGTATGCGAGAAACGCGACGACTTTGTACTAGTTCAAGCATCAAGCACTACGTATATCGAACTCCATAAATACAGTCCCATTCTCTAGCATAGTGATATTTGATATTTTCGGAGCGCGTTGTGAATATAAGATATTTGTACATTATGACTGTTGATTATTCTAGGAATTGCGTTTCTCGAATAATCAACAGTCAAGATACGCGAATAAATATATACTTATAATATGCTTGAATAAAAATTTTAAATGCTACTGTGCAAGGGGGATGAACAAAACACTAATGGAGTTTTGTGTGCAAATGCGGACAGAAAAGTTGCTCTTCTCCCTTTGAGTTTAGGAACGTATCAGTCTTATCCAATGGGAGAATTCATTCAATGGAAAACAGATTCTCCCACTGAACAAGACAGATATTGAGAGACGAGTTTCTGAACTTACAAGAAGAAAGGTGATAACCTTTCTATCCGCGATTGTACACTGGTGGACGTTAATTGAGTCCTTTTTCGATGTAAAATAGTGTAGAATCACTCTAATCAGAGTTTGGCCATAAAAGAATTACTTTTGATTGGTCCGCTATGTTTCATCAAATCCCACACAACATACAATCATGGTACGCCTATGGTAGTAGATTAGGTTAGATTAAGAAAAGATAGACAAAGAAAGGGATTAAAAATATGTTTCTTTTTCTCGCAGGATTTTAACGAAACCGCTCGTTGTGGTCAAACTCTAATTAAGATGACTCTAAAATAGTGTAGAGTCACTCTAAACAGAGTTTGGTCATAACGCGCAGTTTCGGCAAAATTTTGCGAGAAAGAGACATATTTTCAATTTCTCTCTTTGTCTATCTTTTCTTAACCTAACTTAACCCACTGCCATGGACCTACTACATAACCTACTATAATTGGATATTGTGTGGGATTTACCAAAACATAGCGGACCATTCAAAAGTTATTCCCTTATGGTCAAATTGCTTAGAGTGACTCTAAAATAGTGTAGAGTAAACCCTTAAAGAGAAACTGGCCATTGGGGGTCTCGCGTGATTAGCGCACGGGATGAGGGCCCACAAAATGGCGGCACCAATATAAGTTAGAGTGAGAAAAAATATACTCGTCTCACACTAACTTATTGCACTAATGCAGTGCAGCGAAAAAGTACAAACAAACGCACACTCTTACGAGCTCACGTATTTGCGGCCGCCATTTTGTGGGCCATATTCCTTAGTATGGCCAGTTTCTCTTTAAGGGCCATTGCATGTATGAAAATGTTAACCGTAACCGTAAGATCGTAAGAAAACTGACCAATCAGAGTTGATTATTTTCCTTGCGTTCGAGGAATAATCAACTCTGATCGGTCAGTTTTTTTACGTTCTTACGATTCTTATGGTTAGTCTCGATCTACAATAGGTGTAGTAAGCTTTAAGCTTTAAGGAATTGACCAATCATAGTCGAATTATAAAAGAATAATTTATTGTAATTGGTCAATTTCTTACGGCTTAAAGTTTACTACATCTATTGTAAATCGGGACTAATGGTTAAAATTTTTCTACGTGCAAAGGCTCTAAGGATCTCTAAAATAATATAGAGACTCTATAAGAAGAGACAGGATATCGTATGTCAACGTTTTAATTGGCTGCGCCATGTTTGGGTCCTCGCTTCCAGTTAGGAGCATCAGCTGAATGACAACACAAGCAGTCTGTTCTTTTTACTGCACTGGCTGCACTGCTGAACTTGTGCAATAAGTTAAAGTGAGACAAGTATATTTCCGGTTTAGACCCAAACATGGCGAATCTGGTATCTACAGGCGACGGTGTCCTGTCTCTTTTTATAGGGTCTCTAAAATAATATAGAGACCCTTTAATAAGAGTCTGGCTAACACATATATTATCACAATATTTCGATTGAAACATCATGATTGGTCCGCCATTTTTTCTCTAATGACGTAGTAATGCATATAAAGTATAACAAATAATAAAATTTTATTTATTTCATTTTCTCCTTTATCATCGAATGGTAAAATTGTCATTTCGCACTTCTCTTTCATCATTTATACATTATATTGTACATTACATATAAAAAAAACATTTATTCATAAAAACAAAATAAGTTGATTGTAGTTTGAACAAAATGAAATTTGCACGAATAATATTGAAATATTATTCAAATCGATGTTTTGTCAGTGTTTGTGACATTAGTGATTCATAATAATGCATTCGCGCTGAAATTACCTCTTTTAGATTAGAGAAAAAATGGCGGACCAATCAAAACACTCTAAAATCAGATTTCTGTTGGCCAGATTCTTATTAAAGGCTCTCTAAAATAATGTATATGAGCGCGCCATCTCCTGGCTCCCGACTCGTACTTCTCTAGGGACCAGAATTTCGAGATCAAACATGTCTTTAACTACCGTGATCACTGCTGGCGGCAATACGACTTACAGTCGTGGTTATTTATATAAATATAAGCACAATTAATATTTTCAGCTATAATATTCGCAAGCGCAAATAATACATGAGCGATAAGATCAGCCATTTACCCTGGAGAGGTACACGTCGGGAGCCTGGAGATAACGCGCTCATATACACTATTCTAGAGTCACTCTAAGCAGAGTTTGGCCATAATGCGCGGTTTCGTCAAAATCCTGCAAGAGAAACATATTTTCAATCTTTCTCTTTGTTTATCTTTCCTTAACCTAACCTAAGCTATTGCCATAGGCGTACTGTGATTGGATATTGTGTGGGATTTGACGAAACATAGAGACGAAACTTTTGACCAATCAAAAGTTATTCCCTCTTAGTTATGGCCAAACTCTGCTTAGAGTGACTCTACACTATTCTACATCGAAAAAGGACTCAAAAGACCTGTTTTTTTTCGCTGCACTGTTGAACTGGTGCAATAAGTTAAAACGAGACACATATATGTTTTCTTATTTTAACTTATTGCAGTAGTGTAGCGAAAAAGAACAAGTCTAATTAATGAACATCAGTGTACACGATCCGGCTTATAGCAGCTTTAACACTTACTGGATCCAGTTTCCATCGAATATTTCACGTTCACATATTTGTGCATCGTAACTGTTGAGGTTATCATGCTGCATTGTATACTTCCGTCTTTTGAAAGACCGACAGCCGATATTTCTCTCGGTAGTCGTGCATAATACGACGGAGAGAAAAAACGGAACCTTACGATCCCCGCCCTATTATTCTTCGTTCGCCTCGGAGACGAATGGAGGTCGAACGGGCTGTGAGGGATAAGTAATTCCGTCGATGCCTCTTCCGCCCGTCCGACGGCAGAGTCGTTTTATTTAATCGCGAAGGAGGAAGGAATTCAGTCGTTCTCTTACCCTACCCTATCCTATCCTACTCTACCCTCCGTTAGTCGACCGCCCTCTCGGCCGCAAGAAATCCCCCGTTGCCGATACTTTTCCGCTGGAAAATCCATCGAAGAGGTGGAATCGCGCCGCGGCCTGTAAAAATCGTCGTCGACGAGTAAATCCCCCGATATCTCCGTAATCGGATTAACCGCGCGACGAGCGAGCGGATCGTATCGCGCGTCGATAAGGTCGACGTGGCTACAAAAAACGAGGGAGTGAAGGGAAAAGCGGAGAGAGGGAAGAAAAAAGAAAGAAATTATAAAACGTGCGAGCGATTTCGTTAAAAGCGGACTCTAACCGGAACCGTTCCTCACCGTCTGTTGCAGAGGAACTCGATATCGCCGGCCGAGCGTGAGAAGTACAGCAGGCCCCGCAGCACGCCAGATCCGCAGCATCACGAGCACCTGCACCTTGCAAAGAAGATGAAGAAGGAACAGGACAAGGATATAGGCCATGTAAGTGTCTAAGATGGTGCTTCATGTCACATGTTCCGCGATTCGCCTTAATAAAGTCGTGCACGTTTTCTCCGGCAGCAAAGCGACGGTGAAAAGAGCGACCAGGACCTGGTGGTGGACGACGCGAGCGAGGGCCCGACTAGCCCGGCGGCGAACGGCACCTCCTCACCGCGGGAGAACGGCCTCGACAAACTCGGACCTTCCTCGGTGCCACTGAGCGGTCAGGTGAAGAAGGAGGTGCCGCCGCCGTCACCGAGGAGCGGCACTAGTAGCAACGCCAGCACCCCTTCGGCAAAGAAGATGGAGGAGCGCGAGAAACCAACCACACCAATTTCAAAACCAGTCACACCGACGTCTGCTGGTACAATTTGACTGTCCCGTCCCGTTCATGGCGTTTGCTTCTATAAGAAACAAAGCCGTGACACGTCGAAAGCTATGAAACAAGTAACCGTACCGATTGATCACGGCCTAGGTGGCAGTAGCTCTGGTTCGGGTGGCCTGAAGCCATCGAGTTCCAGCAAACCGCTGGTCTCGGCCTCCGTGGTCGGTCCTTATCCGCCGCATTATCCACCACACCACCCGCCAGCGGGTCCCCATGTGGACATGCTAGGCTATCCTCCGGCGGCGCTCAACGGCTACCCGACGAGACCGCCACTTCAGCAGCTCTACGACCCCCACGCCAGCATGAGAGCACCTCTCGGACCGCTCGGTGTTCCGGGTGGAAAACCGTGAGTGTTTCTCTCTCTCTTTCTCTCTCTCTCTCTCTCTCTCTCTCTTTTGATTAGTTGTCATTGTTTCAAGTGCAATGGTAACGAATTAGCCGCTTTATTTAATTAAATGATTGTAGAGCTTTTTGATTAAAATTGAAAAATATATATAAAAGCAACGGTTAGTAAGAGATTTGGTGGTTTTGACTAGTGTCGAGAAAGGATGCGATAACATTAATTAAAAAGCCACGTGATGAATCTTTAAAAGTTATTAATTTTATCTTGAACTCTCTTTTTGTCTATGTAAACATGTTATAAACAATTGTTTGATACCTTTATACGAATTCACCACTGTCGTCAATTATACCAGGCTTAGTTTTGCAAGATTTGAAAATTCATGTACTCAACCGTCCAAATCTCGCATCTCCACTTTCGGTATATGGACGATGTGGTTATGGCTACTTCAAAGAACCCGACAGTTCACCATTCTAAATATTTTGAATTCCACACATCGTCAATTCCTTTACAGAACAAATATCCGAAATACATCTCGTGGATATCCTATAGATGTCGCGATATAATCAATCTACAAACTGCAATCTATCAGTACAATATCTTGTCATTCTTTATCTCCCGAATATTTCAGTTATCATTCGGTTTAACAGACGACTATATAATACATTATCAAATATTGAGGTGTTACTGAGATGTTACATAATATTTACTTTCTGCTTTAGGCCCTGTTGTATAAGAAATATTTGTTTTTGTCGATTATTATCGTTCTTCTTCTTATTCTGTTACTTATAACAGACTACATATACCATTGATATGTACTTCATTATCTTCGTTCAACCTTATCGTCATTATGTTAGAATTGTTTTACAATTTGACAAGTTCTCCAAATGACTGTTTTCAATTAAAATTGTCTCTAAATGTGTTAAATATTTGTATCGTTAGTAAGTTTTTTTATTGCTATAACTTGTCACACATGATATATTAAATTTATTAATCTTTTTAAAAAATATCCACGGCACACACATAGTTTACATAGTTACAAATAACGATATGTTGTAATGACAGTCTTTTCTTGGAAATCTTGGAAGTGACTTGCAAATCCCGGAAGAGTATCTATTGAGAATGATTGTCTTCATATGGTCACCCCCAAGTCTTTTCAACAATGATTTTCAAGTATGATCTCTCTGTTTGACATTACATGCGTTACTTTGCTCCGTTGCTTATAACCAATAATTATTTGTAATTTATAATTTTGGCTGAAAATGACCACAAGAAATGGTCGAGTGGGAAGAAGGAGCTTCAACGAGACACTTGCACGAATGAGAAAATTCTGCAAGATCCGACGTTTAGGCAGAATTTCTCTGTGACTTCTTTTTCGTCTCACTGCCTCTTTCCATGTTACAGAGCGTACAGCTTCCACGTGTCTAGCGAAGGTCAAATGCAGCCGGTGCCTTTCCCACCCGACGCTCTAGCGGCTCCCGGGATACCGCGTCATGCGCGTCAGATAAACACGCTCACCCACGGAGAAGTGGTCTGCGCAGTGACGATCTCGAATCCGACCAAGTACGTTTACACCGGCGGCAAGGGATGCGTCAAGGTGTGGGACATCAGCCAGGGTGGTAGCGGCAGCGCCAAGCCTGTTTCGCAGTTGGATTGCCTGCAACGGGACAACTACATTAGGTCGGTGGTAACACGTGTCTTCATTCGTATTCGTGACACATTAACTCCCAAACGCTATACGGTCGATGTAATTAATTTCCGACTGAATTCTGGATGACATTTAGTCGTGTCCGCCGGCTGTATATCATGCCGAAGCAGCGGCGCGCATCGATTTACCGCACACATTTTCCGTATGCATCTACCCCCTTCTCTTCCTCCTCTTCTTCCTCCTTCTCCTCCTCCTCCTCCTCCTCCTCCTCCATTATCTCCACTACCTCCACCACAACCACCTCCTCCTCCTCTTCCTCTTGCCATCCCTCACCGTCTCTCCGCTACTACTACCACCCCCGGTTGGTTCCCCGCGCTTGCAGCATGCGGGAGCGTAATAATTATTTAAAAGCGCGCATAAGTGGCAGCATTTAACAGGATTAATGTAACGACCGCGTCGTTCCTCTCGGTGTTCGTTAATCAGGTCGGTGAAGCTGTTGCCGGATGGACGGACTCTGATAGTCGGTGGCGAAGCGAGTAACCTGAGCATTTGGGACCTAGCCAGTCCGACTCCGAGGATCAAGGCGGAATTGACATCGTCAGCGCCGGCCTGTTACGCCTTGGCGATCTCTCCGGACTCCAAGGTCTGCTTCAGTTGTTGCAGCGACGGCAATATCGCCGTCTGGGACTTACAGAATCAGACGTTGGTGCGCCAGTTCCAAGGACACACAGACGGCGCTTCCTGCATCGATATTTCCGCCGACGGCTCAAAGTTATGGACCGGCGGTCTCGACAACACTGTGCGTTCTTGGGATCTACGCGAGGGCAGACAATTGCAACAACATGACTTCACGTCGCAGATATTTTCTCTGGGCTATTGTCCCACTGGCGAGTGGCTGGCAGTCGGTATGGAGAACTCGAACGTCGAAGTACTCCACGCCACTAAGCCTGACAAGTATCAACTGCATCTGCACGAATCCTGCGTGCTTTCGCTGCGCTTCGCCTCCTGTGGCAAATGGTTCGTTTCCACTGGAAAGGATAATCTGCTGAACGCGTGGCGCACGCCATACGGTGCCTCGATATTCCAGGTGGGTCATCGATTGTTGCTCGTGCGAATTTATTACTTCCGACACGTCGTGCACAACTGTCGATATCTCGATACTAGCCATCCTTACCGTTCTTCTTATTCTTTTACAGTCGAAGGAGTCATCGTCGGTGTTGAGCTGCGATATCTCCACCGACGACAAGTACATCGTGACAGGATCCGGTGATAAGAAAGCCACCGTCTACGAAGTGATATATTGAGCCATCGATTCGACGGTGTACTCGAATACTCGTGCAACGTCGACCGTATCAAGTTTGTTCTGACTCACTTACGTGTGACCGACTCGCAATCGAAGTGGAATCGAAAGGGATAGTAAAATGCATCTCTTTCGCGCGAATCTTCGATGCTTCGTCCGTAAAACGATACCAAGAGGATACACGCGAGTTTCGCGGGCACTACGGGACTCTCGGTCGCCACAGATCCGAGAGATAGAGACGGCGAGGACAGCCGAGACGACTTCCTCTCGCACGCTTCTGCAATGTGCGAGAGCCCCAGTGATCGAATTAGTGTGAATCGCGAAAATATAAATATATTTGAAACAGAAGAATATATGATGCGGAACGTATTAGCTACGTAAGATTGTATAGAGCCTATGTTCGCGCGTGTGTGAGTAGAGACGAGCGGGATCACGATGAGAGAGTAAGAATGAGAGACGTGTAAGTTCGCACCGGACTGTATTATCGCGCGGGAGGTCGACGCGAAGTCGTTTGTGTAATATATTCTGTAGGATTTTTGAGATTGTAGAATTGCGTGCGATTGCATGTCCGGGGAGAGAGAGATAACGGGGTGTTTCGATGAGTTGAGTGCGCGCATTTTCGTCGCGGGCGTCGAGCGCGAGCATCGCTGACGTCGATCAACAACATGGAGTGAACGACGCCGCGGCGAAAACACCTCTGAATACGTGGAATGCTGATGATCTAGTGTCGTAGACCTGTCAAAGTAGGGATGTATGTTGTGTCGCAGAATTATACATAATATATTGAGCACACGCAGAGAGAAAGAGACATCCACATACAGACATACATATACATACGTGTACACATCACACACATACATACACGTAGACAGAACCGTCAGATAGCGGTAAAACTTAGGGCTATGAAGAATCCGATAAGCATCGATCACGCTGGACGAAAGAGCCGACGTAAATGGTGATCTTTGACATTTCTACCACCGACAAGAGGAGCATATAATTTGTACTTATCGCTTTGATTTTTAATTACAATTCTTTCATAATTATATATACATACATAAATATATATGGCACTGTTGCGTCTGCCGTTAAGACTTTATTATAATTGAGATTTTATAAACAGGTCGCGCGCGCGGAGATAGGGAGAGATCAAAAGAGATACAAAAGATCGCGAAAAACGAAACAAACGCGAATAGAGAGAGAGAGAGAGAGAGAGAGAGAGAGAGTGCTCTCCGGTCTTGCGCGTTTTGACCGAGACTTTAGGGAAAACTGGCTTTCATACGCCTGTTACAAGCGGGATAATAAAACGAGATCGGTAATAAATATCTCGACAACTAGAAAGAGAGAGAAAGATAGAAGTGACTCTATGTAGTTGCGCGCGGAAAACTTACCGCGTGGCGGCTTCTTTCTTGATATACATAACACACAGTGTACATCGTTTGCGAGTACTCGACTGCCATAATAGGCATACATTACTACGCATACGCGTAATACGCGCGAGCGGACCACGTACGTGGGCGGATTTTGCAGAATATTCAATAAAGTATTTTTGTGACTACTCATCGTGACCCTAGGCTTATATAAAAGAAAAAAAAAACATAAGGAACGAAAAGGTACCATCGAGAGAAGCGAGATCCGGTCGAGCGCGATCGGGGCGTTACACCCTTGCGCGCGCGTGTCTGTATCCGCTGCAGATCGTCGGGAAGACGAAAGATAAGAAAGAGAAGACGGGAAAAAGGGAATAAAATAAAAAAAGGAAGAAACACACTGACTCTTTAAAACGCTGCCGCTCTCTTCGGCGCGACGAAGACGGAGGTGCGTCTTGGACTTAGGGTACCATAGCTAGCGCCATTATTATTCGGAACCGTATGGTGAAAGCGGGTGATGCGTAATGGAGATTTATATTTTGTTACAGGAAGGCACACACACGTTGACACCGCTGTGATCGTCCGAAATTCAAATGCCATACAATACTGCCGCGACTAAAAAAAAAATGAAAGAAAAAAAAATATAAAAGTGAATGAGAGAACGTAAACTGAAACGGGGAAAACTTTGCGCGACACACGGAGAGTCACGAAATAATAAGACGCGGTCAGAGAGAACACCAACGCGCTTTTTACGCCACGCACTTTTACGCACGCACGCACGCACGCATGTACAGACAGATAGACGGACGAACGAACCAACGAACGCACGCACGCACGCACGCACGCACGCGATTGCGAAAGAGACGACGCGATTTTGGACGAGCACAGCTCCGGATTATATAGACCAATAGTAACAACGATACCTCAAGAAGACTCAATAGTTAATTATCTCTAAACTCAATCGACTTGTACAGAATCGAGATATTCTTTTACAGCAAAGTAACATACACTTTCACTCACACGTACACATATACACATACGCACCGTGGACAAAATGAAAAACAAACGTGAAAGCAAGAAGGAAAAAAAAATAACACAGGAAACTGCGCGCGACAGAAAGATAATCGCCACAAGCCGCGACGATTGATTGTGCCCCATTTTCCCCATTTTCTCCCTTCCTTCCCTCCATCCAAGTCCCATATCCAACTGACAACCCCTCGTACTAAACTTGTACACGTCGTGTACACGTCAAACTGCGTCTCCGTGCTCGCATTTTGCACTCCGCGAAAGCGTACGAAAGCCGTGGGTGAGAAAAATAATACGTTCGTAATAAACGGAAGACGAGACAGCGTTAATCTTTTTCCAAGCACTGTTCAAGTTGTTCCTATAGCTACGCGAAAAAAAATTGTTTCTTTCGGCAATTAAATCCTCTATATCTATATATATACAAGGATCTATCTCAACGTGATTATTTTCGCCAGCCCGTCTCCCCGATCCCGTAAGTCGTGTGTTTTTAGTATAATTCGACATTCGAAATCTTGTTTAACTCTAGTAAAGTCGAAATTCGATTTGGCGGAAACTTAAAATTTCTTTTTTTTTTCTCGTTTTTAGTTAAAAACTATTGATTGTCTTCTTGATATCGATTATTTTATTGATATTTTTCAATTACGCTGATCCTAATGTCGGTAGTTTTTTTCTTTTTTTTATAATAGTATGTACAAAAATATAGGGTTACTTTTCTCGATCATAAAGAAGCAAAATTCCACGCGCTGTAACTTCGAAAATAGTAATGCCAACGAGATGATTCAACAGGCATTTTACAGGCTAAAGTCCTTAATTTCTACATATATTTATAGATATAATGTTTAATTATTTGTTGCAATGTTACACGAATCTAAATCAAGATATGTCAAATGTGAAAATGAAGTTGAGTAAAAATGAGTTTGTTCTCCACATACAAATGTTCAAACAAAAGGCACAAAATAAAAGTGCAGAACGCAGATTTTTCTATTTAATTTGCGTATCTACAGATTGCGATATAAATTTTTTTTGCACCAAGTTATTCCATATTGAAATAGAAATAGTATTTTGCCTTTGACCACTCAGAGCAAAAACGAATTAGTATATGACGTTCGTTGACAAATGAATAAAAAGCTTAATGTTTCTTCTTTCAAATACATTTTTCATATTTTTGAAAACATAATTTTCAGTGTAAAAGCAACTGAAAGGTAAAATAAAAAAAATTGGACTGTCGTCATTTTTCACTTAATTTGTCAAATCTTGATGAAGGACAATGGCGTCATATTTTTCTCATATTTTTTAAGAATTAAAAATTTCTTGCCAACGATGCTTTCCAAAATACTTTCATATCGTCATTTTATTGAAGTTACTGATAGTTGAATTGTATCAATTTTTCAATATTGAGTGAGAATGTTTAATCTATTATCGGATTATATTACCTGGAAAGTTGAAGTTTGACTTATAGCCGCGTAGTATTACAGCCTCGATTCTTTACAAAAGATAGTAGCGGGTCATAGCGGAAACTATGATACTAATTTCAGAGGAAATAAACCATATTTGTCCAAGACTCGAATCTTGGTTAGTCGAGGTTTGAATCTAGATTAGTCAAGACTCGAACCAGAGAGAAGCCTGAGAATGGCTACTAGCCTGATTTCAATGGCCAGAGCTAAACACATTTTCGAGACGCCATTTAAAGTGCGTTTTTACTACGTCTGTTAAGCCCGTATCAGACTACCGACTGTACAGGCCGACCCGACTGCCGACTATGACTACCGACTCTCAATGGACCAATCGCAGTAAGGCGTCGAATCAGCGCGTACTTTACGCCGAATAAAATGGGACGATTTGATTGGCTTAATTCGAACGACGCGACAAGTGACGTGCTAAGTGAGAACTCAGCCTAACCGAAATCAAGCTGGTGGTCGCAATGACGTATGTACATAGACCAAGCATTCCTATACTTCTGCTGTAGCAGCAGGTGAAGCCGGAAGTTGGCAGTTTAAAACAGAGTGAGAAAGTTAATTTGCTCTTAGTGCTTTCTCATTCTATCGTATAAGAAGAATATGGCCGCTGTAAAACTGTCAAGTGTTATATATAATGCAGTGCAGAATTAAAAGAAAAATATTATATATTTTACTGATCTCGATATAAAATCAATATTTATAATATTTTATGCTATGTATAAATAATCACAGCAATTGCTCTTATCCTGTTCTCATTCTACTGTCACATGAAAAAGGTTGCTATGACGGAATACAGTTCTTGGATAAGGTTTAGTGCTGTAAATAGTTATATTTAGTGCTGTAAATGCTTTAGAGCGACGAATGGATCAATCACATTGCTTTATTTAACGTTTTAAAGTATTTGCAGTGTTAAACAAACTCTTCTTCTTGACAGTCAATAATGTAGAGTAAGAAAGCACTAGGAGCAAATCAATTTTCTTACTCTGTTTTAAACTGCCAACTTCTGGCTTTACTTTGCGGACAGAATGCTTGGGCTGTGTTCCGAAATTCACTGCTAGTACTGAAATTCTATAATATACGTAACATAAACTATAGATTTTTAGTACTGGCAGTGCATTTCGGAACGCAGCCTTGGTCTATGTATATACATCATTGGGTGGCCGCTCTTATGGCTCCTGCCCACAGGACGTGGCAACACTGCCACGCGACGGAAGTTCGTGCGACAGCCAATCAATATGCTGCTTCCCGTAATAACCTTGTAACTCTCACGAAAAAACAACATATTGATTGGCTGTTGTGCGAACTTTCGCCGCGCGGCAAGCGTTGCTGCATTCTAGGGTGCGTTCAGATTCCCTACCCGGATTCTATTACTAAAAACACTATAGTATATGTTACATATACTATAGCACTTTTAGTATTAGGCTGCGTTCCGAAATTCACTGCCAGTACTGAAAATCTATAGTATACATAACATAAACTATAGGTTTTCAGTACTGGCAGTGAATTTTGGAACGCAGCCTTAGAATGCACCTGGGTAGGGGATCTGAACGCAGCCCTGTGTGCAGAAGCCATTAGGTTTCTCTCCGCTCGAACCTTTTCGGGAACGGACTTCTCTCGATACCGTTAGATGGCACCAGGCAGTCCATCTCGAAGCCCATCGAAGAGGGCGCTACGATCTTTCAACTAATGAGCTTGGCAGAGTTTGTGATGGGTTATTAAGGTGTTGGGTATATGTGATGAAACGTGTATTTTGCGAATACAGTGATAAAATACCTTCTTCAAGATGAACATGTCAGTAGAGAAGAGAAAATGCCCGTCGGCTTTGCCGATCAATTGGCCATCACGGGAGGAACCGTCGAGAAAGAGCCAGAACCAGTTGGCGTCATCGGGAAAGGTCGATGTTTATTATTACAAGTACGTTGAATAAACTTATCTCTTAAGGAATCATCATATCGTCTAGTGTAAAACTATTCGATCGATAGATTTTCCCATACGTTCGTCAATTCTACGAAATCTCCGCAATCCACCGTAGTGCAAGACGCGGGAATGATCATAACCTCTACATATCGAACGACCTAACCTCTAAACTAATGACGCTCTTCGTTCCAGCCGAGGGAGAAGCGACGCGACGTTAGTACCGCCGATCAGGCAAACTGCATCGATTTTTAAACAACCGGTGACCATTTACAAGATGCAGGAAGGGAAAGTGAAGGACGTAAAGCAAACAGGTACTCAGGAGAAACCGAAGCAGGTTAGTTGATGGGTCAATCTCGACTGATCCGTGTAATCCGAGTTGTAATAATCAGTGTCTCGCCAATAAATCGAAACTTATCGCACCGTACCGTACCCCATGCCATTCTCACGGCACCGTTAATCGACACCCCAGTAATATTGCACATGTATAGCGCATATAAATGTAGGTATCTCCCTACAATTCTAATGTTCATTGTTACCTGTCCTTGTAAATTCACGTGATACAAATCATTGCTTTAGGAAGGAAGCGAAAAAACTGATGGCAAATATGGCTCCCAAGATAAGCCTAAGCAGGTAACTCTATCCATGCTCATCATGACATTGTCAATAATTTGGTTACATCCATTGTATGTTTTTTTGTGTGTTTTGTTGTATGTTTTTTAGTGTGTTAACAACATTGACTTGCCATCATGTATTAATATTTAAAGGACAGATGAAGAAGGTGGAGCTTTTTAATTATCGTCATCCTGGTTTTTATTTTGAGTTGATTATAAGTCACTATATGTTATATGTGTGATGTGTACTATAGAAGATTGATTATTATATACTGTTATGTGTATATAGTATATTATTATATACGTATATATAGCAACAATCTCACGATTTTTATATATTTTTTGTATTACATAGAGGAAGTATGGCCATTTGTGTGCTTTTTTCTTTTTTGGCTTGCGATGTTTAATTAGTAGATTGGTGCGCGCAAGTGACTGGTAATTTATCACTAAACAATACAGCTGTTTCCAGCTGTTCTGGGAGAAACGTTTGGAGAAATTGCGGGCTTGCGACCCCAACGGCTATGAATTCGACGCGATGGACTTGCCAAAAAACTTAAAGCCAGTGGGGCCAAATATCACGGAAGAGACTCTGCTGCAGAGTGTCGCCACCGCGCTACACGTTTCTACTAATGCAGTTACGGGACAAACGGGCCCAAAAGCAGCCTTGGAGAAGAACCCAGGCGTGTTTCTTAATCCGGAACAACCACTTGTACAGGTAAAATTGGTTAATCCCTGAGAGGAGCACGTTTTGTGGTGAAAGTGCCATTGGAATAGCGAGCTTGCAATAGTGCTAACGAGCAACCTCGTACTTTTATTTCAGGCGGTCTCGATAGCGGATGACGATCTCAAGAAGCAAGAGGAGCGAGTGGCTATTGCAAGAAAAAAACTTCAAGACGCGCTACGTGCTCTGCATACCTAAAGTGTGTTTATGTTATGACCGACGTTATTCGTTTTCATCTCTTAATTTTTAATTTAGTTAAGTCCGTTATAAATTATGTCGCAATATCTTTTGTAATAAATGTTTTTGTAAAGAAAAGAAAAGACCAACCGAGGCAGTCGTTCCTCACAGCACGTACGGCGACAATCGTGCAGCACCGATCATCTGCGAAGGTCTTTCAATGAAGTTTCGTGGCACCAAGTTGAGTAGTTGGGTGAAAGTACACACTACGTGGCAGGATTGTTTAGCGAAAACGAGCAGTGCGAAAGACAATCGGTATTCTTTGTAGTATACTGGGATCAAGATTTTTGTTTTTGTCCCGGTAGGATCCAACTTAACTAACGATTGTCACGGAAATAGAGGATTATTCGATATCGACAAATGACCGGAAAAGAATACGTGTAGGTGATGTGCCAAAATGTGCGTTACATTCTGGTCGGCTTTGCTGGAGAATCGACTCGAAAAAATTGCGACGCCGACGAAGTGACTCACTTGACTCTCACGAACACCTGCAACCAGCAGCAACAGCAACAGTTGAAACTACAATGCTCTTGCCGGCAATAAATCGAGTTTGGCAAATGGTTCACATTAATTATGCAAATCGCCGTGCTCGTACACGGTCGGAGTTGGCGTGGAAAATCGATCGGCCTTGAAATATCGCCACAAATTCGAGCTTGTAATGACTTAGTAAGAAATATTCTGGGATCAAAACTTCGTCTCCTTCGCCGGCAAAATTTTCAATGCGCGTTCGAATGGACGATTCTCCGCGCTTGAGAGTCTTCGTCAAGGACTCCGCCGAGAACTCTTGTAGTTTACCTACAAGGATTTCCCAGAACAGTTCCCAAAACTGCACGCTTTCTCCCTCCCTTAGGCTCTCGGAGTCTTGCGTATTGTGCGACCCGAAGTTGTGTATCCGCGAGCCGTACAGCCTGCTGGGAATGGGTGCGTGCACAAAAGAATGCTCGGGCAGGTATACAGGCGTCGGTTTTCAGCCGAGCATAAGCCAGGTGGTAACCTCTTTTTTTCCCGACTTCGCCGCCCTCTCTCCCTTTCCCCTCAGTCCTCTCTGCCCGTCTCTCGCCCTGCGGCCCGATACGGCTCTCCACCTCCGACCAACAGCTGTTTCCCTCCTCGGCAAGGGTCGCTCTCCCTTATTGTCAACCAGATGGAGGGAGCGAGACAGAGAAAATGAAGAGAGAGAGGGAGAGGGGCGTTCTCTCTCCGCAACACCATGGCACATGTCCCAGTTTAAATCGTTATAACCCGTCGAACACATGACTTGACGACAACGACGACGATCCACCCGGCCTAATCGGCGCGAGCGGTGGGTAATGACAACGCGAATCGTCGTCGACGAGAATTCACGGCGAATCGCCACCGCCTGCTGCTGCTACTGCTGCTGCATCCTGAGCCCTGAGCTCTCGTGGATCAATAGCGCTACCGCAGATTCTTGCAATAATTTATGCGCCGTGGAGGCAACATCCGGTTCGCGGATGAGGCAGAGAGGGGATAAAGGAAAAAGAGAAAAAGAAACGACGTGGATAGATCGCGTTTGCGCGAAACTCATTAGTATCTATACGATAGTATTCCCATAGTAGTTCTCTGCGTTAATTTAATAAGATGATTACATTTTCACATGCAAGTAATGCACGATGCGCAAATTGTATTGGAGCTATATTGCGATAATCGCGAGCGAAACGTCGACGACAACGACACGATGCTGCGCGCGGAAAGCTGTCGACCATCCGTGTTTGCAGAACACTTTTCTGCATAATTCTGGGAAATAAGACAAAAGCTGTCAAAAAAAATATTCCTGCAGCAATGATACACAGATACTACTTGCATAATGCTTATGTGATTTCTTGAAACAGATTTTGTCTGTTATTAAAATGTATATTGTATAAGGCATTCGTTTTTGCGTGTAATTAACAATGCACTTTAAAATATTTGTCCACAGTCGATACTGTAGCCTCTTTGCTTCCTGACATCAAAGCATCTAACAAATCCTGGTACAGAACTACCTTGAACTTTTCATCAAGATGTGCCATTTGTATGTGTTCATACACCAAGTATATAATACAAATCCTGTGCTATTATTTGCTTGATGACAATATGTGATATGACAATATTGATAATATTTCTGGAAAGATAGTTTGAGAATATATTTCTTAGGAATAATATATTAATTGTTTGTCAACTATTTGTGTGATTAACTTTATATCTAATCCTGATCTCAAACAGCATAAATATCTAAAATACATTTTAGAAATATCCTAAAAATATCCAAGTAGAATATCTTTCAAGTCTCTCCAAAATGTCTTCTAGATATTTATACTGTATAGGAGTGTGAGAGCATTGCAAAGAATATATTAGAAAAAAATTATCTGTAAGAATATATTAGAAAAAAATTACCTGTAAGAATATATTAGAAAAAACTTATCTGTAAGAATATATTAGAAAAAAATTATCTGTAATTAATGTCATACAGTGACGTATTTAACGTGGGATTTCTATCACCAACAATTAATATGTCATCTTTGAATTTGACATACTTGAAAGAGTATATTACATAAATGTAGATATTTACTTGAATCTAGAAAGTACCAATTTAGTATCATGTTGTAACAGCCCAGATACACAAAATCTTCAAAAAATGTTCTGGGACATTCTTAGAATGTATGAATGCTTTAGAATGTCTTTAAAACGTCTTTTGAAGATTTGTGCTGTATGGGAGTTTTAAAAATTGTTTTGAAATTACTAGCAATGCTAATTTTTATACTATTCAAAGGCTCTCTTTTTTCATCTCTCGAAAAATATGTTACAGCATTACTGTGCGTGATTGATTTGTTCATGCGCTTTCTGCCCGCCGTTGAGTAGTACTTGACAAGCAAAGGTGCGTCCGACTATTATTTTGTCGTACAATGACCTCAACTCCTCATTAAGGAAAGTGGCGGCTCGTAGCGGAGACTAATTGACAACTTCGCACGCCGAAATAACGGGTCTGATCATCTCGTAGACTCCTTATCCGCTCGTCTAATATCCGTTCGCCCGGCGTTGAAGTTCGGTCCTGTGAGTTTGCAGCACTGTATCGAAAACAGTTCGCGCCGCGGCAGAAATAACGTATTCCGTGAATCGTCTCGTTCTCATGATTTCGGCTCGCCGAATGCGAGTCTGGTGCCCGAGTCGTCGCCGGGAGTACCGAAGGTAAGTTTCGCGCGTTCGTCGTGTCGAGATATTGTCAAATGAGCATCCGAAATGGCTATCTCGCGGAACGAACAGTCGGGAGTTCCGAAAAGAGTACTTCGCGCGTTCGTCATCACCATCATCGATCATAAATCCGTTGGAGGAGAATGTTGTGCGCGAATATTGGAGGAAAGAGTAAGTCTCGCGTGATCGTCGTGCCGAGATATCGCGAAGTATCGGGAATGATCATATCGCGGAACGGGCGGTCTTGGAAATCTCGAGAATTCGACAACGCAAAACGATCGCTGTGTGCGGCGCAGAGATGGTACTAGTGTCACGATCAATGGTTAGGCGACAGTTTCTCGAAAAGTGGAGGGGATAATGTTGATACCAAGGAAAATCTCTACACGATATAATTTAAATATCAGTTATTTGTAACTGCACACTGCTGAACTAATGCAAAAGGTTAGAGAAAACGTATACTTGCCTCGTTTATTGCACCAGTTTAGCAGTGCAGTTACAAAGAACAGATCTTTAAATTATATCGTGTAGAGATTTTCCTTGGTATCAACATTATCCCTTCCACTTTTCGGGAAACTGTCGCCTAAGCGCCTCAATACGCGTATATACAGTGGCGCTAATCGTCGGACGTCTTTAGAGATCCTTTAATAAGAGATCGGACACCGTCGCCCATAGATATTAGATTCGCCATGTTTGGGTCCAAACCGGAAGTATACTTATCTCACTTTAACTTATTGCACCAGTTCAGCAGTGCAGCCAGTGCAGCTGAAAAGAACAGACCACTGCTTGTGTTGTCATTCAGCTGATGATACTAACCGGAAGCAGGGACCTAAACATGGCGCAGCCAATCAAAACGTTGATATATGGTGTCCGATCTCTTATTACAGGATCTCTAGACGTCTTCAAGTGCTACACGTAATGAGAATTGAGTGTCAGACAAGTGGATATTCAGAATAGCGTCGACAAAGCATCGGGGAGTTAGGATGTTCGATTGGGAAGCCAGGACGGAGAACGCGGAACAAGGTAGCACAAATTGCCTATACTTGTCTTGTCAATTTTCCCGTCAACTTTCAATCATTCTTCTAACTTTCGTAATTGATAGCTCGGTACACGTGCGACAACGTAAATAAACGGATTGCACGTCAATTAGTTACTTTAACTTTAAATTCGATTTTCGTCGTTGATATTTCAATTGTGCAATCTTACTTGGTGATCGTGTATTCTTGAATCGGTTTGGCGAAAATTTTCGTGATTAAAATCTCGGCACTAAAGCCACGTCAATATGTGGGTTGCACTAAAGAATTTTTTATATTTTATTTATTAAGTAAATATCCATTTTTAGTGTATTGACAGTCCGATATATAGTTCTTCCGATTGCTACTACATACTGACACATCACTTTTGCGTTCTATTTTATTAACCAATCTTAAACGACAAGAATAACAACTGCGTTTTAGATGTGCAAAACAACTCAGTTTTTCAACAAGTCATAGACCACGTTTTTATCACATTTAAAATCGGACTTTTAGATGATTGTATTAAGCCGAACGTTATAAATCGCTCGTCGCTAGTCGGTCAAGGTCAGTGCAGCCAGCTCGCTTAGCGAGAAGACATAACATGATATCGCTCGGGCGATTTTCCATATGATGTAGTTGTTCACATTGACTTCGTGAAACGCGTTAGCGATTCGTATTTCTACTATACATATATAAAGCTAAATTGATTTTTGTGTCAAGCTGCGCTCTGTAGATCGCTTCGGTGCTCATTGAAAAACCTCACGAAACTGACGCGTGGAATTAAACCAACCACGGAATTAAACAGAAACGAGACACCATTGGTATCGTCATCCAACGGTCACGATATGAAACATACGATACGAGAGAGAGAGAAAGAGAGAGAG